ATACTCTGTTTGTGGATTACACTGATATTCATATAGTTGATTTTAACTTGTTCGAGGAAGATTAGAGTTCTGAATGTAGAGCTTTTCTGAATTTCAAAGAGGATCTGAGAGGGAAAATCGAGCTGCTAATCTATGGATCCCTCAAACCTATCTATTCTCAAAATAATTTTAGATAGGTTTGTGGTTTGCATATATCAGGAGCTTCATTTACTCTTCTAGGATCCTTATTGGAATGAAGGGAGCTCTACGTTTGATAACCTAATTTTTTTCCATGTAATGATATGATGAACATATCTAATTTTCTCATGCTTAATTGAAGGTTTTGAATTCGATCTGTGAAAAGAAATTTCGTTGATAGAAAATGTCCTTGTGTTCTTTAATTAGTCTTACATGTTGTAACTTCGGACCAGTCGTTGAGAAATTTCTTCTTTCTTCTTAAGGATGTTGGAACGTCTGCGTATATATTATTTTTTGCATACTCTGCTTGTGGATTATACTGATATTCATATAGTTGATTTTAACTTGTTCGGGGAAGACCAGAGTTTTGAAGGTAGAGCTCTTCTGAATTCCAAAGAGGATCTAAGAGGGAAAATCGAGCTGCTAATCTATGGATCCCTCAATCCTATCTATTCTCAAAATAATTTTAGATAGGTTTGTGGTTTGCATATATCAGGAGCTGTATTTACTCTTCTAGGATCCTTATTGGAAAGAAGGGAGCTCTACACTTGATAACTTTTTTTTTTCTATGTAATGTTATGATGGACATATATAATTTTCTCATGCTTAATTAAAGGTTTTTGAATTCAATCTTTGAAAACAATTTTTGTACAGAAAACGTCTTTATGTTCTTTAATTAGTCTTACATGTTGTAACTTCGGACCAGTCGTTGAGAAATTTCTTCGTTCTTCTTAAGGATGTTGTAACATCTGTGTGTATATTATTTTTTGCATACTCTGCTTGTGGATTATACTAATATTCACATAGTTGATTTTAATTTGTTCAAGGAAGACCAGAGTTTTGAATGTAGAGCTCTTCTGAATTCCAAAGAGGATCTAAGAGGGAAAATCGAGCTGCTAATCTATGGATCCCTCAATCCTATCTATTCTCAAAATAATTTTAGATAGGTTTGTGGTTTGCATATATCAGGAGCTGCATTTACTCTTCTAGGATCCTTATTGGAAAGAAGGGAGCTCTACACTTGATAACCTGGGGTTTTTTTTTTATGATGGACATATCTAATTTTCTCATGCTTAATTGAAGGTTTTTGAATTCGATCTTTGAAAAGAATTTTTGTACAGAAAACGTCTTTATGTTCTTTAATTAGTCTTACATGTCGTAACTTCGGATCAGTCGTTGAGAAATTTCTTCTTTCTTTTCAAGGATGATGTAACGTTTGTGTATATACTATATTTTGCATACTCTGCTTGTGAATTATACTAATTTTCCTAGAGTTGGTTTTAACTTGTTCGAGGAAGATCAGAGTTTTGAAGGTAGAGCTCTTCTGAATTCCAAAGAGGATCTAAGAGGGAAAATTGAGCTGCTGATCTATGGATCCCTCAATCCTATCTATTTTCAGATTAATTTTAGATAGGTTTGTGGTTTGCATATATCAGGAGCTGCATTTACTCTTCTAGGATCTTTATTGGAAAGAAGGGAGCTCTACACTTGATAACCTGGTTTTTTTCTATGTAACGTTATGATGGACATATATAATTTTCTCAAGTTCAAGTAATAGTTTTTTGAATTTGATCTTTGAAAAGAATTTTTTTGACAGAAAACGTCCTTATGTTCTTTAATTAATCTTATATGTTGTAACTTCGGATCAATCATTGAGAACTTTCTTCTTGCTTCTCAAGGATGATGTAACATTTATGTATTTACTATCTTTTGCATACTCTGCTTGTTGATTATACTAATATTCATATAGTTGATTTTAACTGTTCGAAAAAGACCAGAGTTTTGAAGGTAGAGCTCTTCTGAATTCCAAAAAGGATCTGAGAGGGAAAATTGAGCTGCTAATCTATGGATCCCTCAATCCTATCTATTCTCAAATTAATTTTAGATAGGTTTGTGGTTTGCATATATCAGGAGCTACATTTACTCTTCTAGGATCCTTATTGGAAAGAAGGGAGCTCTACACTTGATAACCTAGTTTTTTTTCCTTCTAGACAATGATAGGATGAACATATATAATTTCTTCATGTTTAATTAATGGTTTCAAAATCGATCTTTGAAAAGAAAAAAGTGGGAAAAAAACATTTTTTGTCATTTAATCAATTTTATGTGTCTTAACTTTGAATCAGTCGTCGATGAGGTATAATCGAACGTCTGATAATAAAACAAATACTAGTTTTCTTCTTCTATATATTATTATTGATGATTGTGATAAGATGAGATCGGTCCTTGAAAATAAAAAAAATATATAAAAAAAGCGTTTATCTCTTTTAATGGATTTTACACAGATATCTAAAATAGATACCAGACACAAGGTGAGCAACCAAACAAAATACTACTGTTTTTAAAAATAAATAAATAAATTATATTCATTGACTTTGCATTTATTCCTTTTTTCTATTCTTGTATAAAAGGATGAAATCTTTTGATTTTATGATTTGGTATTTGATAGTGAGTATATTGTGTTGATGTTATTTATGGGATACTGAAGAATTTCATCCCACTTTGGAGTTCAAATTATAATATAATTTTTTAATATGTTAGAAATCTCATCAAGGAAATTTAGAAAAAAATAATAAATTATTTTATGTATTTTAGGAATTTCAACAATTTTCGTATACATAATAATCTTTTTTTAATCTATGTTGCAGATTTTTGATGAAGGACGAAGATCAGCATTTGAGACGGAATATAAAATAGAAAATATGAATTTGACGTAGCTCAATAATTTTAATCAAACTCGTGTGTCTGATCTCAAGCAAAATGTGGACCATGGATGCTAGCCAAATATATACAAGATAAAAATGTGTTTTTTTGCTTATAAAAGACTTATGTTGAATATTTGTCAGCAAACAAGTTTATTAATCTTGGTTGTTTTGGTTTATCAATTTAGCAATTTGGTGGACTAAGCATATATTGCTTAATGTGACCAAAATTAAACATGTCTATAATCCCATTTAATTTGTTATATCATTAATATATTGGTTAATTCAACAAGCATTACTATTTTGTCGTTAATTATGTCTGTATGTCCATTTAAATTATTTTATTTGATTAAAAAAATCTATCGAAAATATAAGCTCAAATATAATAAATCGGCCTTAGTTCTACAATATAGATAATCCATTTTTTTAGTCAAATTTTTTAATTATTACGTCTCAATCTCAAAAGAAGATGATAAAATACGAAGTAAAGAAAAACTCTATACACAACAAATCAATTGAGGTTCTAGAATTCTATAAATTTGACTGAACTTAGTTTGATTTAATAAGCACATATATATTTGTGTTTATTCAATAAATAGAAAAAATAGTGCAGTTATTAAATTTCTTTCGCAGTTTATCAAATACTTTCGTTCATATTAAAAAAATATATTTATATAATATATAGTTCAATATATATAATATTATATAAACGATTTTTGAATTATTTTCATGAAACTTCACTTATCGAATTTAAATTTCATAACAATAAATATTTTTAAAATAAAGTTAAATAATAATTAACAAACGTTATCTCATCGATATAATTCCCATTAAAAATAAGTATTATTATAATTTTATTTTTTTAATTTCTCCATGTCTCCACCCCTCTTCATATGCTTCTATATTATTACTACTACTTAGGTACTAGTAATATTTTTATATCTTTTTTTCTACTTATTCTAATGTTTTCTTTTGTTGGAATACTCAATTATGCTCACTACAATGGGAACAATTGACATATATAAATTATGAGTGCATAGGTTATAGGGAATTAAAATTTATTATTTTTATTATCATTATAGTGGATTAGTTTCAACAATGTGCAATGGTGGCAATGACACATGTCTAGGTGCTAAAGGAAGTGACACACCTAAAAAAAAATGTATATACATTTTCAAATTACTGAAGATATAATTTTATTAAAAAAAATTGAAATCGAAAATTAGAGATAAAAAGATCGTAGATAGTCGAATGTTAGAAGCTGTTTATTTTTCTCCTTATTTAGTAGCATTAGTTAGTATTCAATTATTGATGTAGTATCTTATTATATTTTATATGATTTTTTACTATTTTTTTTACTTTGTTTATCTTGTTTGTTTGAACGAATGAAAAATTTATCCAAAATAGTTAAAATTAATAATATCATTTTTGAAATTAATATGTACGTTTAACTTTGTTTTGTGGAGACATATGTTTCTTCTTAATTTAATTTCTATAAGAAAATTCTAAGATATGGCCCAACAAATGACAACATTTTTATTCATTTTCAATCGAAAAAAATTATTTTCGATATTGGAAATAATAACAATAATATTTTTAAAATCTAATTTACTCTAATTTCATGCTCCTTGTAATTATTAATTTATATTCCCGCTATTTCATATTAATTGAATTTTTAAGGTGTTTCACACCCGTTAAGAAAAGTCTATTGAAACATAAATTTTTTATTTTTTATCTTTATTAATTATTGTCAAATTCATAGAAGTTATCATATTAAAAATCTAAATAAAAAATAAAATTGAAAAATAATTTTAAAGATTAAATAATTAAATTAATTTAAAAAATAAAAAACAGTCTTAAAAGTTTAAATTAATATGGATTGGTGGAAATAATAATCTTTGTCTCTTAAATAAATTTATAGTTATGTCTTACAATGAAAAAAATTGCTTTCCCCCCAAGTCATTAGATATTTTACAATTTCCCAAAATAAGATTATTAAAACTTTATAGTAAAAAAAAGTTGTAAAATAGGTTGGGTTAAAAGTTACAGTTGTTAATAGTATAAGGACTCAAAAGTAAGAATTAGTCACAGACAAAATAACAGAACAAGTCCCTCTTTTTCATCAATCATGTCTGAAACCGCCCTATTCAAATTTCTCTTTACATTTTCTTCTCAGTTCTTCACATATATATGTAAAACCCATAATCTGAAATCCAATTGCACTGTTAATTCAATCGATAAAAGCAAAAAAAAGAGGAAAAAAAGAAGAAAAAAGGAAGAAAGAATAAGGAAGTAATCGGAATCATGTCTTCCCCTAGCAAACGCAGAGAGATGGACTTGATGAAACTGTAAATTGAAACTCAAGTTTACTCAATTTTTTTTTTGTTGATGGGTTGTTTTAGTTTCGTTTGTGTTTAAGTGGGTATTCATTTTCTTGGAAAAATTTAGGATGATGAGTGAAGAAACTGTAAATTGGAACTCAAATTTATGATATTTATGTTGATGGGTTGTTTTAGTTTTGGGTGTGTTTAAGTGGGTATTCATTTTCTTAGGAAAAAATTAGGATGATGAGTGAAGAAACTGTGAAATGGAACTCAAAGTTGTGATTTTTTGTTGGTGGGTTGTTTTAATTTTGTTTGTATCTAAGTGGGTATTGATTTTCTTGGAAAATTTTTAGGATGATGAGTGACTACAAAGTGGAGATGATCAATGACGGAATGCAAGAATTTTTTGTGGAATTTCATGGACCCAAAGAGAGTAAAAATCTATTTCTTATACCATTTCTGAGTTTTTACTAGTTGTTGTGTCTGTGAAAATGTGTGTGTATTTATATATCTGTGTTGGGTTTTGTTTTTTTGTTTCTGACTTTGATCCTCTTTTGGTCAGTTGTGTTTAGTTTATATGTTTTTGATTTAGCTGTAAGGATAGGGACTTTCGCTTAAAAGAAGATTAGTTTTGCACCCAAAGACTTGCTTTTGTGTGAATAGTTTGGTTAATGTTGTAGAGCACTGTCAATTCATCGACTATGCTTCTATTGCAGTTGGGTTCAGCTATATGAATGCGTTATATTTGCTCCACTCTATTCAGATCATTTCATTCATGTTGTAGAGAACTGATAACATCAATCTATGTTCACTTACAAATTAGCGTTTTGGAAAACATCTGGAAAAAACATTTGGGAGCTGTTCTTGCTGCTACTGAATTTAGATTATGTTCAGATTGCAAAATAAGAATCCTGTTCTTGGTATGAATCTTGTAGTAGCTTCAACCGTCATGTATTTCATAGTTGACTGCGCGGCTAGTTATAGTATGTAAGATTGTTGATTTTTCTGAATTAGGATTTAGTGACAGCTGCTTGCTTTTTGAGATTTTATTGGAAGTTTGATCACAAAAACTGTCTTTGATTTGTTTCTAACAATCTTGTTTCTTGATGGTTGCAATAGGTCCTTACCTGGGAGGTGTGTGGAAAGTGAGGGTAGAGCTCCCAGATGCCTATCCTTACAAGTCACCATCCATTGGTTTTGTTAACAAGATTTACCATCCGAATGTGGATGAGATGTGAGTGATGCTGCAATTATCTTGCTTACTTATTTCTCATTTTAGCATGGAATTTGACTCTTATGAAAGACTTCTCTGAATCTACATTTTCATGTTCTTTGAATTCCAGGTCAGGTTCAGTCTGCTTAGATGTTATCAATCAAACCTGGAGCCCCATGTTTGGTATTTTGGCGTTGTTCAGTTTCCCGTCCTTCTAAATTTCTGCTTCTCCTTGTTTGAGTGATACTTCTGCGTTCAATAGTTTATGTTTATGTTTTTCATTTTTGCAGATCTTGTAAATGTTTTTGAAGTGTTCCTTCCCCAACTCCTTTTATATCCTAACCCATCGGATCCCCTGAATGGAGAAGCTGCAGCTCTCATGATGCGCGATCGTACTACTTATGATCAAAAGGTGAAAGGTAAAAACCTCCAATTGGTCAATCTAGTACTTGCAGTGGATTTGACTTGCATGATGCCTTGAATGTGACATATCCATATTTATTTGCCTTGCCTATCACCAAATTTTATTTGCTGCTTAGTATGTGTAATGGGTTGATTGAGTGAGCTCGTCTGATATATCGGAAGCTTTACCAAAGCTCCTTACGTGGAGAATTTGGTGTTCGACCATGAAACTTATTTTTAGTTAAGGACATGTATGTTTTTCTTTCAATTGAATACTTGTACTTTGGTGTAGTGATAAGTCTTCTATAGAAAATCTCTAGATTTAGAAAACCTGTAATTTCCCGTAAAAGACATATGTTAGTATTTATAGCTTTAGTTCTGAATATTGGAATATAGTGGACGAAACTGTACGTGATAGATGTAATGAATTTATACAGGACCTTTTAATCATCACCTGGAGGTAGAAATCTAGATGCCTTTGGCTCAAGGAAGGGGACAGAACCACCATATATTTTCATAAGATTAGATCCAAATGCATATATAGACTTCTGGTGATTATTGAAGATAAGGAAGCAATCAAAAGGAAGACATTGGAATTCTTTGAAAGCTTATATACTAAGCAATAATTTTGATGGATTGCCTGAGAAGAAAGCAACAATTTTGATGGAATTGCCCGAGGAGGAAGAAACACTCTAAAAATAGCTTTTGAAGAAAAGGGAGTGTTAGCAGCCATTAAGTCAAGTGCCCCTGGGCATGATAGGTACACTATAGGCTTTCTTTTGATGAAGAGGTACCTATGGCTTTCTGTCAGTGCTCTTGGGTCTTTATCAGTCAGTTTACTAGTAGTTATGCAGTATTATCATCAACACCGCTGAAGGGTTAAGTCCTGCAATGCCTCATTCATAACACTTATACCTAAGAAAAAAAGGGCAATGGAGTTCACAGATTATTGACCAATTAGCTTGATTAGGAGCATATACAAGATCGTAGCAAAGGCTCTTGCAGATTGGCTGAAAGGAGTTATGGGAAACTGGTCTTAAATCAATAGAATGCCTTCAGGAAAGGGTGCAGATCACATATGCCTCTGTCATAGCAAATCAGGTATTGTTTGACAATTGAGCAAGGGAATGTTGGATTACTATGCAAACTAGATGTTGAGATAGCTTTTACCAATTGAACTGGTCTTATCTCATATCTATTCTAAGGCACATAGGGTTCGGTAACAAGTGAATAAACTGGATTGAATTCAACATCTCTATGGTGAAGTACTCAATCATAATCAATAGGAGCCCAGTAGGATTCTTCTGCCCACAAAGAGGACCAAGACAAGGTGATTCATTTTTCACCTTTTCTGTTCATTCTAGCTATTGAAGGGCCGAGTAGGATGTTGGATAGAGCAAAACAACAGTGTTGACTAAATGGTTTTGATATAGGAAGGACAAAGCAGTCAAATTTTGCTCTACTTTATGCAGAAAGAGAGCAGGTCCTTTATCTAAACCTTACATTGGTCATAGAAGTAGTTTAATCTTTGTATGAACATGCTCAAGAGTGTAATCTACCCTGTTAATGAGGTGCAAAACATAGATGATCTGGCTGGCATATTTGGTTGGGTTGTGTAGTACTGGAACATTCCCAATCACATTCTTGGGTCTCCCATTGGGGGCCAAATACAAGGCAGATGGAGTGTGGAGTCATAGAAAACTTTGAAAAGAGGATTGCTTTTTGGCAGATGCAATTCCTCACTGATCAGTAATGTGCTTGATAGCATTCCAATGTGTAGTATGTCACTCCACCTCATTTCCAGTAAGGCCAATAACTAGATAAGATCATAAGGAATTCTTTTGGGAAGAGAACAACAGCCCTTACAAATTTCATTTGGTTAGGTGGGATAAGGTCTTGTCACCAAACAAACCAGGTGGTCTGGACATCAGAGACTTAGCACTTCACAAAAAATGCTTACTAATGAAGTGTATGGGAATGACACATGGAACTTGATAACTTGAGTGCAGTCACCGAAGGTTTGTTGAAGGCTCTGTGGAAGGGAACATAGATACAGGATTTTTATGTTGAATTGATTGCCTTAGCGGAGGTATTTACTACAATGTTTTGATGGCAAATGAAAATCAAACAATTCTGTACTCGATTCACTGCCTACTTATATGATGTCACTTTTCCCAACTCCAGCAAAGGTGGTGACAGTACTGGATAAGATTAGGAGGAAGTTTCTATGGCAAGGGAATAAGGAGGGAAAGGGTTATTGACTGGTAAACTGGAAGACGATGTAGCAAAAGAGAAGGGGGTTGGGAATCAGAAACTTGAGCTTGCAGAATGAGTCCCTGCTGTTGAAATGTTTATGGAGATACATCACTGAGGACAGGGTACTGTTGAAGGAAGTCATTGTGACAAAGTATGGTGAAACTAGCCCCTGGTGCACAGAAATGGTAACTGATACCTATGGAATGGGAATGTGGAGAAGAATTAGGAACTTATGGAAATCAATGGAAGCCAACATCTGCCTCAAGATTGGCAATGGTGCAAGGGCAAAATTCTGGAGAGCTAGGTGGATTGAAGAAACTTCTCTAAAGGAGGCATTCCCTGACCTATTTCGTTTTTATGTAGATCCTGAGGTGACAGTCCAGGAGTGCTGGTCCACACAGGGGTGGGATATCCCTTTTAGGAGGCTTCTTAGTGCTTGGGAAATAGAGAGGGTACCTTTGTTATTGGGGAAGTAGGGGAAGTTTCTATCAGTAATATCTGCTGATGAGATCTCCGGAAACATAATAGAAATAGGATAATACATAAGAGGTGGTCAGGTGAAAAATGAGAATGATCAATTCAAGTGAAATTACTTCCGGAAAAGCAACATACCTACCAAAACAAAGTGCTTTACTTGGTTCCCAGGTGTCCTCTGTGTATGGTGACCGAGGAGACGAACAAGCACCTTTTTTGCATTGCAACTCCACTGCTCAGCTGTGGAATTGTTTCATAGGCAATAGCTGGACCATGCATGAGCCATACATCAGACCACCTTAGCTGGTTGATAAGGAGGAGGGGAATAAGAGTCAGAAGAGATGGTGGAGAATGGATGTTTTGAAGATAGTTCCAGTTCCATTCACTTCACAAAATTAAATGGAATTGTATCAGATCTTCACTTTTTAAACAGTTACGTATAGAGGATACTGTCCAGATTATATATCTGAAGAATACAAACTTAACAGTTTTAAAAGGAAAAAAAGGCAATTGCTGCATTTGAGTGGAGTAAGTTAAGGACAAGATGTAGTTTGAAGGGAAACAAAATTAGTATCTATTTAGCATTTATGAATCAGATGTTAGAGCAAGAGAGGCAGATGATGCTCTGTTCATATATCCTTTCCTGTGGTAAGAGAACTGATAAAAGAATTTATTTCTTTTTGCCGATGTTCTCATTCAAATGTGTATGCCAGATTTAGAATTAAATCCAAATGTAAATGAGAAATTTTACCATCTTGTTGCTTTTAGCTTTACTTTTCCCTTCTTTCCAATTTGTTCCCGTTACTGTTACTCTTAGCTACTGGCACCAACCTACAAATGAGAGGAACCTTTTTTTTTAGTCTAAAAAGAAAGCTCTAATCAAGTGTGTTTTTGGGGGGTTATCTCAGATATACTACATCTCTTATTTCCTTAACGTGTTGGGAACTGTGTTCTTGGGGACTATGTCTTCACTATAACGTTTCTTGATTCACTAGAAGACGGATCTCCACTTTTCCTTTGCATCTGTTGATTGCTTTTCTGTTTGTCCAGTTCTTTATTTTGTCAAAAGTATTTCAGTGATGCTGTTATAACACCTGTAGGTACTCTTTGCCTATTTCGTACCTCATTGCCCCGGTTGCAAAGTTTTGATTGCCCATAGTCTGCACTTTTAATGTATTCAACTTTGTGATGTAATTATGTACCTTGTTTCCAAATTATCGAACTTTTTACTTCAGTTTATGTTGCCTCATTACTTATGGCCTAAATATTTCTCTCTCAGAGTATTGCGAGAAATACGCTAAGAAAGAAGACGCTGGGGCTCCACCTGAAGAAAAATCTAGTGATGAAGAGTTGAGTGAAGAAGAAAATGTCTCCAGTGATGATGAACTTGCTGGAAAAGCAGATCCCTAAGGGTTTAGCAGATCATGGACAATATTATAACCCCTTCAATGTTTGTACATGATATCAACTTCTAAACCTGTCTTGTCCATGGTTTACTTGAAGAAAATAGTTCTATTTCTTCTGTCAATCTGAATTGTACTGTTATTGTGGTTACATTCTGTCCTGATTCCATAAAAGTCCATCTGAACCTTTAAACTTAATTTGATGTCTGCACTTCTATATATCTTTAAATCTAGATAAGAATCAAGCAGCAATTCGAGCGGAGCGGAGGGTCTGTCAGGAACAACCTCTCTATCGCACAAAGATAGAGGTAAGTTTTATGTTTATTCTATGCTTTCCAGACCCGACTTATGGGATTACATTTAATAAAAGGGTACCTCTATTTGATCCAAGTACTAATGCAGTTTGTCAACTAATAGCTTAAAGAGAAGAGACAAAAATATTAGGTGAATCTTTTTTCCATTTGTATAGCTTTGGTGGATAAAGTTGGTGCGTGTTATTGGTGAGAGGATTTAGAGTTAGTTGATGTCCACGTAAGTTAGCCTAGATATTACCGTTACCAAGAGAGGGGAAGACAAGTCTTAACAAAAAGTATCAGACTTTTTCCAATTCATGAGATGTTATCAGTTAGAAAATTTGCGTTTGCACTAACTAAAATACCATTATATCAAACAAATGAATTTTGATTTACAGTACAATGTCTACTGAAGACATGATCAAACCATCTTATTTCTCGCTGTTCTGTCTGCTATTTAGCATTCTTAACAAATGACATGACTTAAAATTTTGTCAAATCTTACAACAGGAGCTTAAACAATTCTAAAACACTCATCTTTGGAACAGCTTTGAGTAAAAAAGATAACAAATAAGATGGTGCTTTGAGCTAATGATAATAAACAACGTCTAAATTTTGAGTCTGCCACTGGTTACCAGAGTCTAGCCCTATGGCGGTGACAATTACATGGGCTCTAGGGGCAGGCTGACTGCTGGAGGTGCCTGGCCTTCACGAACATGAATCTGCATGTTGTTCACACCCAAGCACTGGTGCTGAAAATAGTTCACGCGCTGCTACGTTAGCTTACTGTGTCTCTTGAGTAACAATAATGCCCATGTTTTCTGAATCCTTGACATTTTCAACTAGTATGGTACAAACTTCACATTGAAACTTTGGAGAAGTTATCCATCTTGACATAAGAATGAAGAAGCAGCGTTCAGCCTTCAAACAAAAAGAAGAAGTTTCAGATATAGAAGATGTAAAATGAACACAAAACAAGAATGCAGTAGTGATAAACGGCAAGAACAACAATTTTCACATAACCTCCTTCTCTGGATCAGCCATAAGACCAGTTAGCAACGACTATGATAGTGCTTTTCTAATTCTGATTCCTTGACTTCATGACGTCCAGTTCAGACAGCATGAAATGTAGAAGCAATCTAGTTGGATTGACTAGACAAACTGTCCTAGGCTCCTAGCTTTGAAAATCTAATCAGAAGAGACATACTACAAGTATAGGGCAGACTCCAAGAGACGGGCAGAAATGAACTGGCACAGGTGTTTCTGGACAAGCATACACTTCAGTGGTCAAAGAGAATGAATGGATGACAATGCATTTACTTCTATGTAGCCAAAGAAAAGAAGAATACTGCAGAGGTCGATGATGTTTAATTTTTTTGATAATGCAGCTACAATTCTAAGTCTTCCCTCTTGGATAAGAAGACCAAAAACACCATGCAAGGAAAAAAGGTCAGTAACAATAGAGAATCTTTCCTTTTTAGCTTTTGTGCATGAATAATTCAATTGGCGCTGCAGATTTTCTCTATGACATAAAAAATATGACTATTGAAAAATCTAATCTAAATCATAATACTCATTGGAAAGAAATTTTTCGAAAAGCTCGGTCCCTGCAAAATCTAAGAACCCCTGATTTTCAAGTAAACATAATCCTGACGCTGCATCTAATATCTTATCTGGAACTCTTAAAGACATTTGAAGAGTAGTACAAAGATAACTGTTTCACAAAGATAATCAACTGTTTTTCACTCCCAGGTTCAAAAACCTTTGTGCCAAGATTGATCTAAAGAATTCGGTCAACTAGCAAGACCATCTCCAATTTGTGTGCTTTTGCTTAAGGCATTCAGTGAGTTTCGGAAATAGTGATGGCACATATCACAGATGCAAAGAGTCAGCAGCGACAATTAGAAGGAACAGAAACATTCTTCTTTTTCTGAAAAAAAAAAAAGTGAAATAGAAACATATTAGGAGCAAAGTTACGGCGTTAAAGTCTTACCTTTGGCACAACTTCAAATGATTGGACTCTCAACTCTGATAGTTTTTGCCACTTTGGTGCTGCATATCTTCTGCATATATCTAAGCCAGCCAAGTTCTCACACTAAGCCGTCAGCTGCAAGAGGTTCTTGAAGCAACTGAATCATAATTTTTGTTTCTTCCCTTCTGAAGCGGATACAATTAATCAACCATGCCACAACTCCATACTGGCTGGATAAGCTATATGCAAGCTGTTTAGTCCTTTTGAGAAGGCAATCTTCCTTTATGTTTTTTCCTTTTGAAGAGGATAATGATATAAAATCTTCTAACCATGGAATACTTAACAATTAAGAACATCCAGTGGCTGATTACACTATTTCCATACCTTTTTCATAGGGGAAAGATCTAATAAACAGCAAGCGGAAGCAAAAGACATCATATGAACCATCAACGATGAATAGGAAGCAGGATTAGAATAGCAACATCATAAGCAAAGTTAGAAATGAAATTAGCATATCAAAAAGAAATGGAAAGAATTTGAATAAGATGTATGGCTCATTAATATGAAAAAAAAAATGCTATCATTTGAACTGTTAAACCAGCTTATTCCAATTACTTTCTATAAATCTAGCTAAACTACAACAATTAACTTCTATTTGATGTATGATTTTGAACACTAGCAAGGAGTCTTGTAAGTTTACTGAGCGTTTCATGAGCAGATATGGTTTCTGGATGGTCCTCGCCGCAGATTGAAGTTCTAATGAAAATAGCCTTCCGGATTAAATCATCACCAATATCAAACTGTCCACCCCTCAACATTAGCTTTGCCCTGATTTCGAGCACTGTAGCTCTTGATAAAGCAAGTTCCTGCCAAAGGCAAGGGTTTAATTGGGCACTTGTCTGGATAGGTCTCCAACAAAGTGATTTATCCAACCACTTGTCAACAGGTGTGACAAATGCCTGATCTGCTGCTTCTAATGCATCTGTACAACGCCGTAGAAGTTCTAAAGCAGCAGCACAGCGTGAGAATGTAATAAATGTTCTAATGGCAAGTGGTAGAATCACTTCTTTCACGAGAAACAACAATTCGGAAACTTTAAGCTCAACTATCATGGGGTCACTCCCAAATCCGAAGAGCAAAAAGCATGCTGCCCATATGTGCTCAGAGTGCTGGGGTATTAAACCGCGAGTAATAACAGCTTGTACTGTGGCTTGTGCAACTCCAGTGACCCCTCTTTTTCGAGCATACATTTTGATAAGCTGGTGGAACTGAATGTAGCCTTCCTTTCTACAAGTCCTTGCAATGTTGAATCTCAACAAAAGAGAAGAGGCTTCTGCCTCAGATTTCCTAGCATATGATGATGTGAAACCACAAGTTAAAGAGCATAAAACTTTCTTCAACATCCTCCGACGTGGGTATTTCTCTGGTATCTTGTGAGCAGCCAGAGTTAATAGAGAAACTGGAATAGGTGATGGAGCAAACCAACCGCTTGCAAGGGCCATTCTTGTTGCTAGACTTCTAGGTCCATCAGCATGGTCAAATATTGAGAAACAAACTTCAAAAAGTTGCAAAAGGAAATTGTTTCGCCTCAGTGGATGGTTTTCCCGACGAATATAGATTATTTCCTTCAATGGCATACGATTGATGGTATCCAATAGTCTACTAGGATTTATAGGAAGTTCAGAAAGAATTGCTCCAACAATGGCAAGGCCAAGTGTCAGTCTCTTAAGTTTGTCCTCAATAACTCGCAAGGCATCAATTTCAGCAATCGGGTAATCTTTCACAGCACCCTGCATCAAAGACATTGCCTCAATCTCTGACAGATAATTGAGTTTGATAGGATCCATGTTCATAATCCGAGAGAGGCGCGTGGATATGAGAACATGTGTTTCACCCCCAAAACGGGGAAGCAAATCCATTATTAGTTTATGATCCCACCAGTCCTTTTCACTCTCCAAGTTATCAATTATCAGCAAGAATGGAATGTCTCGCATGAGTTCTTTCCTAACCCTAGCTACAGCAGCCTCTTCTTGCTCCTCAAAGCTCTTTATCCTGCTTTTATCAGGTGAGTTTTCTACCCCAACATCAACTTCTAAAAACGACCACAAGTTCAAGTAGTTTTGACGAATATATCTGCTTTCACCTCCAATCCAAAGGACCATTTTGTAGCGCTGATGGAATTGATAAGCATACTCAAGCAGTAGATCTGTCTTGCCAATTCCTGGTTCCCCAGACACACAAGCAATGCCCTTTCCATAGACAACTTTCATGGAGTTGTTTCGCCTTCCATGTTTCTTAGAGTTCCTCGGCTTTGGTGCATGCTGTTGGGTATGAGAAACTTCAGCATTTAACATTTCAATTTCTTTCTCAGATTCCTTCCATGTCACTGGCTCTTTCCCTTTCCTTTTGTTGTCACTAGGACGCTCAAACCGTCTTTCGTTGATTGAATTACTTCGACTCCAACTAATTGTCAAATTCCTTCGCTTGGGTCTAGCCTTTAGTTCAATATAGTCTTTCTCTGCGTCCCCACTAACATCACCAAAAAGCCGAAACTCAAGCTCGGATAGCTCCTTCTTTCTGCCGACAAAATTCTCATTTCGAGGGAAAGGAAACTCCTCCTTTTCTGCCTTCTCCCTCCACTTGGATAGTCTGTCCACAACACTTCGCCTCCCTAATCTTAAGGCCAGCAGCGTTACAGCCCTCAATATGCATTCCCTCCACTTGCCATCATGAGCCTCTAGCTTCCACTCATCAACACGCAAAAGACCATTGACGGCATCTCTCCACTCCTTCTCCAATCCCCCATAAAGTAGCCAAAGTTCACCACCATGTTTTTCCCAGTGCTCTCCTCTTCTCTCAATTATATCTCGCACAAGGCAATCCTCTGGACGCAGATCGAAGTACACTGGTACCAAATTCTTTTTGCTAGCAAAGAAGCGCAGCTCCTCTATGGTATATGGATTCCTGAATGATTTCTTGGTTAAGATCACAACTCCGAATGTACAAGCATCCATTACTCTCTCTACCATGCCATGCTTTCTAGTATTTCGGCACCTTGATCTGTCAGTAACAAAGCAACTTAGACCTTGGATTTCTAGCTCCGCACGGAGCCAATTCATGAATCTGAGCAGTAAAGGTTTGCGGCCATGAAAACCAATGTACACATCACAGCTCCTCACTCTGTTGGATAGGGAGGAAGTCGATGTTGGAGTAACACAAGATTCCTGTGTCCTCCCACTCTTTTTCTGCTTGCCTCTAGGTCGCAAATATTCATGTTCAGGGCCAACATTATAACTCGCTATAGTGCTCTTAGAATTTGACGTCGAAGAAGCTACAAAATCCAACTTCTGGAGATCATTCGAGGCACTAGCTAATGCAACAGGATAAGCATCTGACAATCTAGCATTTGCAAATGATTCTGGACCTAAAATGCCCAAACTAGCATCTAAAGCAGCAGAGGTAACATCACTATCACGAAATTGATTATCCGAGCATGCTGATACCAGGGACTTAGGTGATCTAGGAGAGAAGAATGGCGACTGATTCGCAGAAAAGAAAGTCGACGATGAAGACGAAAGGTTTCTTGACGTTGTGCTTGGTAACGATCCAAATCTAGAGCTTTCTTCCCGGAGATCCATAGTTAAAACTACTCACTCCCATTCACAAGAAAATTTCATGCATTCCAGGAAAACAGATAAACCTCTGAAATTGAAAAGTAAATCAAAATGTCAGTGAAGGGACAATCTCCATTCATAAAACTGCAAACTGTATGCAGCCATAAGAACAAAAGTAAACTTAGGTCTACCTAACTTTTATTAAAAATAAATAAATTAAAACTGGACTTAGGTCTGCCTAGTTTTTAACTAGGTTTTCCAAATGAAGATTGCTTTATTTTTCAAAAATGCAGGATACCATATACTGAAAAAAGAGAATTAGTTAAAGTGATGCCATATCTAGATTAACAAAAAAGCATTAATGACTTATACTAATTTGTCATTTGACTCTATAATCCACATTTAGCAATGAAGTAAAGACAATTAATGCTCCATTACAAACAGAAAACCTAGAAGGGAAACAAACAGCCTTCCTAAATCTGTAGCAATAGATCTACAGAAGAATTTAAAACCACAAAGCATTCTCTTAAAAACCACAAAATTTGAACAATACAACAATGCAAGCCTCTACTTCTACAATAACTCAGATCCAACATATACTTACTTGAAGAAAAGTTAGCAATGATGGTGTCCAAAGATTCAATCTTTTTTCACTTCAATCACCACAATATGTCCAAAGATTCAATCTTTTCCCCTTCAATCAACACAAAAGACCATTTTTTTATAAACCAATCTTAACCCCAATAAAATAAAAACCTAAGTGGCATCCACAACCAATATCTTCTTGAACCTGTCAAAACAAAATAAACTATAAATATTCAAACACATCTACTAACCACCAAAAAAAAACATTTTAAAATGCACATACATGTACACAAACACACAATACATACTTGTACATGGATCAAGAAGTCACATAGAGGCAAATAAGTTGAATATTAGCAACTAGAGAGAGACCCAACACCCAAGTTTGAACAAAAGGAAGAGACAAAAGAGTAAAGATTTGATTGATGAGAAAATGAAAGAAAGGAATGAAATGGGAAAATGGATTTACCTTTTTCAAGAATAACTAAAAAGGGTTCAGTGTGTTATTGAGATGACAATGAAGCTGTTTGTTTCCTTATATATTTCTCTTTTCTTGATTTTTTTTTTACCAAGACTCAAACTTTACTCAATAACTCAAAAAAATTTATACACAAAAAACTTTGAGAAGTTCACTTTTTTCACACTACCCATCTTACAAAATACTTCATTTATTACATAGGTATGTGTAAAAACTCAAAAAAAATTTAAAAAAATCTATCTTTTTGTGTCTTATGTTAAAAAAAATATCAGAGGGTACTGAGAATGTGAGCTGACAGGAAAAAGGAGCACCGTTAGAGACGGGGAAGGGTTCTTTTTTCTACTGTTTTCTGCCAATATGTTGGGTTTTGGAGGTGGGGGGTGGGGGGGTGGAGGTAGGGTGGTTTTAGGTGGGGGTGGGGTGTTTGACAAAAAAAGGGGACCCAACAAGAAAGGACGGATCTGACGAGGAATGGTGGTGCTGTCAAAAAAAGCCTTCTTTCCAAAGTCTACACTTAGGATTTACAACTATATAGTATTGTTGCTGGTAAATGTATTAAGGTATTGGGTCGGGTCGGGTCGGTTGACCCGGAATTGAATCGAATCAAATGGGTTTTTGCCCGAGCCGGAGCGTCTCATATAGAGAGGTAGTATTGCGTTGGGTTGAGTTAATATAATAAATTGGTTGTGCTCATCCAGAAATAGATCAAACCAGATTTTTATCCCGACCTAATATAGAGGGGTAGCGTTAGGTTGGGTTGAGCATGCGTGATGGATTGAAACTGATAAGCTCAATTAAGTCCGATTAGATACGAAATCGGTCAATCGGATTGGTTCAGCCTGATTCAACACTTAGCTTTAGATTTGTACTTTTTAAAAAAAGATTTAGCTCAATCCAATAAACTCGGCCTTGCACGAGTCTAAGTAAATCATATAAGTTTAATCCCAGTTGGAAATCATGACCAACCTTCAACCAAGTAATGAACCTGGACTTTGGATCGATCAAGTTAGAATTTTTCTTAAACCAATCATCCGGCTCGATCGTCTATACTTTTAGTATCAATTCAATCTCGAACATGCGTAGATTTAGAATTTTAATTTACTAAACGAGTTCATAATGTAAAGAACAAATAAATAAAGTTGATTCAATATATACTATATATGTATACATTATTAAAAATGATTAAACCTTTTATACAATAATAATGTAACTTTTCAAAAGAAAGGTAATCTGGATGAATCATTTCCATCTTTTAACTTTACCTCCAATCTTTAGTAGCAGAATAGTAAAATAATTGATATTTTTTTACTTTTCTTCAAATATATCGAGTTTCAATTTTAAAATAAAATACTTTAATCAAGAAAAACTTTATATACACTTCGGTGGATAAATACAATAATTTTTTTAGTTAATTAAGTTAATAAACTTCAGATACCAAATGATTAAACGAAAGGAAGAAAAAAGAAGGTATTGATTAGTGAGTATCAATTTTCCTCTTGTTATACATGTGTTATGCAAAGTGCGGCGAAATGAATTAAAATCTTTTTGAATTTATGTGAATTTTCGCAACAACTAATATTTTCCCCATTAAAATAATAAAAAATAAAATAAAAAATAATATGTGAATTCTAGAAGAAAAAAATAAAATATTTTTTGGAGTAGATAGAGTACTTAATATGGAATAAAAGATATTGTACTTTATAGTAATTTTATTAGTATTAATATACATGTAGTAATGATGTAATTAAGTTGATGTGGTTGTAGAGCCAACTTTGGTCATAATTCTTGTAATAATTGTTTTGTTTAAAGATTTATAAACGGTGTAATTAACGGTTAATTAATTAAATTTTATTTGTTAATAGTACTTATAAGTAAACGAAATTAAAACTACAATTATGCATGCCATTATTATTATTAAATCTTATGACAACCAAAGTTGTTCTACTCATAATTTATTGGAGGGATAATGCCCAAGTACCGGCTCAATCTATGCTCGAAATTTCAGAGACACACTTATACTATACTAAGGTCCTATTACCCCTTTAACTTATTTTATTAATAATTTTTTACCCCTTTTTAGCTTACGTGGCACTATCTTGTGGGCCCAACGATGGTTGATTTTTTTTCTTCGAACTAGTGCCACGTAGGCTAAAATGGGCAGAAAATTACATATAAAATAAGTTCAGGGGGTAATAGGACCTTAGTATAGTATAAGTGTGTCTCTGGGATTTCGAGCATAGGTTGAGGAGTACTTGGGTATTTTCCCGACTTTATATTTATTTGTTATTGCAATTTTGGTATAAACTTTAATTGTTTTATGTTTCCTCTTTTTGATATGGTTGTCATTAATTAATTAATTAATTAAATAATTAAATTATATATGGAATTTTGTTTCTTTAATCTTCTCACTTTTTTTTCTTCAAAAGCATATAATATCTTTGACTAAAGTTACAAATTTTTATTTTTTTTATATATCCTAAACCTTTAATTTTTTTTACGATAGTACCTGAATGATTATGATATACATCAAACATGCATACGTAATATATAAAGGCTATCAAGAAAATTAACAATGTCAATTACTAACGAAAAATAAAAATAAAGAAGGAGACTTTATATGAATGTTTGTGGATTCAAAATTATCAACAGACTCTTCAAACACGTTAAGAATACTAAAGTTACTCTACTAATTATAAAACTATATGAGCAAACTACAAAGACATAATTTGTATCCATGTGCTTTATACTCATACAATACACCATAGAGAAAAAAAACAAATATACCAATCTCATTATTTGATACATATGAAACTCATATATGAATGATTTGTTTTTTTTTTAACAAAATGATTGATATAATTAGATAATATCTCAATCTCCAAAAGGACTAGTAAGTTGACAAAAATGACACTATCATTTGGTTCTTTCAACATCAGTCCAAAACAAACACTCCTTTGTTAGTACTTATGGGCACATGCTTCCATGTGAGAAACCATACTATGAATGACTTTTTGATCTCTCATTCACACATATTGAAATTAAAACCTTGTACCAAAATCTAGATATTTTTGTTTCAAATATTATTTCTTCCAAAATTAAATTAAAAAAAACATTTACTAACCTACTAAATATTCGGGTGATCTAAGAGGGAGCTGGGTGAAATTCAGTATTATTAAAGTCTCTTGTGAATTTCTGGAAAAAAGTTTTTGAGAGAAGTCAATCAAAATTTTAATATAGTAGGGAGGGGGGGGGGGGTGATTGGAAACGAGCTAGAACCATGCTTCCAAATCCATTTATCTTACTTGATCGAGGTTGTTTCCATAGTGTTACGTAAGCTTAACTTTGTCCACTCTTTACCTAGAAATTCAATCCAGGGAAAATGACTTAGATGAGGGTCTTTGATTGGGTTGAAGTCGTAAATCGTAACAAAATTTTAAAAAAATCAATTAATAAATTGAATTGTTCATAATGCACTTATTAGCTTTATATATATAAAGATTTTTATATTTATATGGTATATATTAAACTATTTTAATGAAAAATCTGATTTCGTTACCGCTGATAATTCAATTATTTTTATCTTCTTAGAATATATAAATTAACTTAAAAACTCATATTAAGTAACTACTAGAATATGTAAATTGCTTGTTGTATAATGATGCTACTTCTCTTACTTATGATGTTTGTTGGATATATGGCTTAAAATAATAAGTTCACAGAGTTATTTTGTTTTAAAATGTATTGATGTATTCATTTCATTTATTTTTTGGACCCACAATTAATTATATGTACATGCTCAATTCTTATCCATGTTTTATTATTCCTCAAAAAAAAAAAAAAGTGGATGAGGAAAATAATTATTGTCATTTCTAAGTAAGTATATATATCTTTTTAGTGAATCATAAAGTTAGCCAAAGTACATATTATGATTTGACAATTGTCTTCTTTTAAGCAGCATGTCTCCCATCCAACAATAGGAAATAAAATTGACTACACCAAAATTAACTTTCGTCGTCGTCTCGTCGTATAACTGTTAATCGAATAAATTTTAAAAGAAAAGAAATGTCGAAAATAATCTTTAACATGTGTTTACTAAGAAAAATTTAGTGTTTTTTTTAATTTAATGAATAATACATTTAATTACATTTTCTAATTTTTTTTAGTGATTATTAATCATGTAAGCTATGGTAAGCACATGCACTAGGAATCCACCTGGAAAGTGTTCAAAAGAAGTATGATTAGGTTAATTTGCACAGTTTTTCATTACTGATCATCATAATTAGACCCATAATCAGCCAAAAAATTAAAAATAAAAAGAATAAAACTTTGTTTTCTTGCTTAGTTATTTTTGCAAAACCAAGGTGGTCTACTCCATTAAACAATTACTTTTTTTTAATCAATCAAGCATATGCTTCTTAATTGTTTATTCTCTTTTTGTTTGAAAATTTTCAAACTTTTACATAATCCAAGAGAGGTTAATCCAACTTTGCTAATTAATTAAAAAAATTAATAATTGTAGCTCAGTTCTCAAAACCCATGTGTGGTAATTTTTTTATAAACAGTAAAAGACAAACTCATTAGTCATTCAGTAACTATATTTTATTTTTAACATGTCCATATTAACTAATTAACTAGAGGTTCGTGGCAGATGAGGTTACTTTTCTTTTAATCAGAGTTTGCTTTGAGAAAATCCTTGAAAGGGAGAGCTTCCTCCGACTATATATGTAGCACGAATTTAAAATAATCGAACTTAATATCACTACCGAACATTAAAGGACCATCATTTTGTTAAGTTCTATTTTTTTGATACCTGAATCACCGAAGAAAAGTGTGAATTACATGACGATTTTTCTGGAATTAATATGAAAATTTGCAAGAAAATATTTTTTTGCAAATTTTCATACCAATCCCTATGTAATTTACATCTTTTTTTGTAGTGAATTGATAAAATAATACAATATAAAAAAAATAAAAAGAAGGAAAAAATTATATTGATGGATCATAATGGATATAACCTAACACTTCCTCAATTTTGTTTCACCATTTTTTTTAAAAAAAATAATAATAAAAGAAGAGGAGAGTTGTCATTAATGAATAACTAGTATTATTTTTGTTCAGAGGGGGACCAAACTTGGTTTTATATTATTTAAGGACCATTTCCATCTATATTCGTAATTCGAAATTTCTGGTTCGAATTTTGAAAAAGAAAAAAACTCTGATAAAAAAGTATTTTTTCATAATAAATTTTATACAATGCAAATATAAATAAATAAATTAGTAATAAAAAGGCAATAACCTTGAAGGAGTTGAACATGGAAGCATGTTTCTTTTTTGTAATACTATATTAGAGACAACCATGTCTTTTTTGATCTTATC